TGTCAGGGCAAGCATGTAATGCACACGGGTAACAGTGTAAGTCAAACTCTAGTTATGATCCAGTTTTACTTCAATATATTTGCAACGCTAATTTTAGTCTGAATAGCACAGATTCAAAAACATCAGTAAAAATTACGAAAATAATCATTGAATTTTCCGAATCTTTCCAAATCTGTTAATTTTAGGTACACATCGGCAGTCTCGCACAAAAATAGCGGCGAAAAATACTGTAACGCATTTCCTCACCTACGTCCTTTCGATGACCCCAACGCTGCGCTTCGCGGATTCCTTGGGCGCCAGGTGCATCCTTGCACCAGCTCGACTCGTCGAGCCTTTAAATTTCTAATCCGCGACACGTCGACTCCGGGAGTCCTCTCGACCGGCTCTTCCCGCTGGCTCCTGATCACACATAATAGAGGGGAATGTGAGAGCAGCGAGTATTTACAGGAATCAACCGGCATTTCTGAAATACCTAACACGGTGGGATTTAATTCTGTTACGTCGCAGGCTCTTCTGTGACCATTCCTTTCATCCACGGTCTCATCCTTCCCAGTGTCCGTCATCCCTTAAGCATTTGAAAAGGCAATCCTTAACTTCGGCACATTGACAATCTACGGGTACTCCCTTCGCAAGACCCTTCCCATATGCACTGTATCCAAGTTTCCACATTCCAAAACTAGCATCTACTAATTTATGTGTCTCTATCCCCAGTCCTTTTCACTTTGTTTTTTTAACCATATCCAGACTCTCTTCCCTTTTTGTTTAACAAGGGGAGGGTCAGACGTTCCCCTCCCCGATTCGGCTGAGATTGTACGTGCAGTGCTTCAAAAGTAACTCTTATGTACCAAGCCATAGGGTATGCTTCTCAAAAGTTTTCGAGAAAAAGGAACTTGAAAATTTGCGTACAATATTAAAGTCTTAGCAGTACATAAGTATTCACAATCGAAAGCGTGGTGTAGTGTGCAGCACGTCAGCTTCATAAGCGCGAGATCGCTGGTTCGAGTCATGTTGCTATCTCGTTTTTTTTTAATGGTTTATTTATTCAATACTAAAGTAATAATATTATGTTTTATTTATATTACAATTTATAATCACAGATCAAACAGGTAATTTTGAAATTTAATCTTATGTTAATAATTTAATACCTTTTTCGATATATTTTTAAATCCTATGTTAATATATGTCTATTTTTCCAGGCTGCCAGTATCGGCAAGAATTCGGTTGAACGTCGATTGATACTGGTACATGGCCGAAGACTGGGTCATCCACCTTATATCTTATTTGATGGATTAATTTTTTTTTGTGACTGAATTTAAATTTTACAATAAGTTTTTCTTTCTTTTCTTCTCGACGTTTACCCTTAACTTGTCTTCTTTTCCCAGTTCCATGCTTTTGCGCTTGGAAATTGTTAAGGCGGCATAACAATTTGACATCCGAATCGATGCTGACAGGCTCTTTAACTAAAATACATTCTAACGCGGCTCCACTTTTTATACATGCACCCTTCGTTGAGACATAGCACCGAGCTCTGTCCGTACGGTACACATTGTGTTTTTTTAAGGCGAATACGCAGCTTAGATTCTATTGTTGGCTCGACAACTCTGATATTATTTTCGTCCATCCAGATTGTAGGACCAGGTAACTTTGGTTATTGTATGTACGATTTACCGGCTTCATCAAAGACCATTTTTCTGCCGCTACAAATAAATCAAATTTTTTCGAAGGGCCTGTGACCGATGCTGAATCTAACGCATCACTCAGATCATTTTCATCCGCATCGTTTGTGGCCAATGAATACGCGTTTAGGATTAGATCTTTATATCCACTTCGATTCTGCCGAACAATTACGTAAACGTGCTTCGGGGATATATACGAATTACGTTCTCATTCGTTGGGAAATTACCTTGTACACATTGGCCGAAGGCGGATACAGTTTCCCAATATTGTCCACTGCCCAGCACTCTTCGCTAAGCAAAATTGCTTTCAATATTAATTTATCGTACATCTTAAAAATTCAAAATAAAACTGCTAAAACCGAAATGCACTGAAATGCGACACGAAGAGGGTAACGCGTTACAATAAATAGAACACTAACACGCACAGTATAAATATTATAAATAAATTAAATATAATAAATAAATTAAATATAAACTTACGATTAATATATATTAATAAAAATAATACACACAACACTTATAACGATATACTTCAATCCGACATTCAAACACTAATAAGAACTATCCTAGCCCGTAACGTCTATCCCTTCCTTCAGAACATCTGAAGGTCAGCTCGACACATGCGCAGTAAGGGCGACAAACGCTACCGCTCAAAAATATTTATTCTAATAAATCGCTACAAACATGTGTAATTTAAATTTAAATTAGACAAACACTCTTATTAGGTAAGTATAACCCTAAAAAATTGTATTGAAACAAAAAGTATTTAGTTTTTATGTATAGACACTATATAGGAACAGGTTGGTTATTTAGTTTATTTACATTCTGTCATATCGCTGGATTTACAAAGCGTAACTTGAGACAGTCTTGCATACCTACTTCTAAATGATCGAAGCGTATAATTTTAATACTTTGGTGTTATATTATATGTATCTTCTAATCGGAATAGAATTCAAAAATCAGTCTAATGTCTAATTCTAATCATTCGGAGCGTTTGATGATTAATATAAACGAAGGTAACATACATTTTTTGTTAACATTCGATAATTTACCGACACATATTAAACAGATATAAAGGAAAGTTGCATTGAACTATATTAACTCAGAGAACGACACGTCATATACTAAATAATAAGTGTGATGTTCTCAGAGTACAAACTTAATCTCTATAATCTGAGCGTTTTTGGCATAGAAACCCTTTTCAATAATTTGTTGTGACATTCGTTGATCATATGCAGAAACAATGGATGAGTATGAGTATGATGGATGAGTACAATGGATAAAGTAGATATTAGTGGTCAAATCTTGCATTAAGTACAAGTTCATATAAATTGACATACATCGTATAATTAATTCGCAAATAAAATAGGTTAAAGTTGCAGCCAATGTTTCTAATTGCTGTGGAAACTTAGTCGTAGATGGTAATTAAAAATTTTCTTGTCAGTTCATACAGCTAAATTTATTTTCATAACAGATTAAGTTGTGGATTTCATATATAACGAATATGATTAATGATTACAAGAAAGATACTTGAGCTAATTATCTTTATACAGAAGTCATCTTAATGATTCGGCTTTTCCAATTTCCAAGGACTTACGCGCCATTTCCAGAGCACCTTGTCTGGTTTTATTTCCGCCTATAAATCGAACACTATGCACAAAAACGCAGTTGTCTATACCGGAAACACTTGACAATTCCTCGTCGCGTAATCCAGCCCATGCACTCGGTAGAAAAAGTCTGCAAATTAATGAGCAATATTTAGAATTTGCACAACAAATAAAATATCAGAAGCATTGCTAAACAAATACGTACCTAGTAATGAAGCTACCTTCGCACACTGGAACTGCCTGCACTCTATAAGAATTGTCTTTAAAGATTACGTATTTTATTAAGGGATCTAACCCCAACTCCTTTTCTAATTCGAAAAGATGCTCCTTCCACGGTACAAGTTGCGTCAATTCAAGAATTTCACCGGTTGGGTCAACCTGTAAAAAGAGGATGAAATTTTAAAAATTAATTTTTGCAAAGACCTGTCATACGGTTAGGACATGTATTAAAATGATTGTTGCAGAGAGTATGTAGGATCATAAGAACAAATC